AACGCATTATAACGTCTTAGCAATAATGATTACATAGTCTTACGTAGTCAGCAAATAACAGCACAAGCACTTTTCCTTTGCAGACGTAGACACCCACATTTTGAAATCTCAGCCCGTGGACTGGGGTCTGGGATAGGTGCAGTACAATCTCACGACATTTCACCAGGGGTACGGCGTACAGAAAATCTAAAAACAATACGTTATTTATGGACGACCCCTCTCCGTGAAACTCTTGGTAACTCTTCGTTCAATTGATACAAATTTGAACATTTAGATTTCCGAACTAACTGGAGGGATTCTGCTAGGAATTGAATAATTTAATTTATTTTTTTGACAATAAAAACACATGGAACTTTAATGTACAATTCGTGATTGGCGCTCAAACCTGGAAATTATTATTTTAAAATAGAATTTCTTTAAAAACTCAACGTTTCACTCTTTTTACTTTACTTCGACAAAGACCTGCACCTATTCATGAGTTGCCGAAAAATTTTGCCGTCAGCGGCTAAAGAGTCTTTCAAGCTATATATTTTTCTCTTTAACTACCTTATACGTAAATAAAAAAACTTTTGTAGCATACAAAGTATAATGTAAGAGGCAGTAAATTTCTTTGTCTAAGTGAGGGCTTAACTCTTGTTACATATTTATTATATATAGATATATATCTATTAGTAAAACGTTACGATGCGGGCGGGGATTTAATTACGCGTTATTGTTAATATTATTTTCGACTTTTCAGTACTTTACACCACATAATGGTAACTTTTAGGTATAAAGAGTCACTGGGTGGTCAAGAAACGTTTTATTATTGGGTACAGAAAAACGTTACGGCATCTTACATGGATCTCATAAAAAATTGCGTTACGTAATACTTGAACGCTCCCTGAGTTAGACCTAAAAAAAAATAAGACATCCACCGCCTTCCAACGTTTTCCCTGAACGAGCGAGAGTTAATGGCGCAAAAAGATAAATCAATCAGAAAGTATCAATTTCATATGACTGATATATTAGCAACATCCATGCCTTTAAATCACATGAAGTTGACACATTTCTGTATCTACCGAATCAAAACGTTAATTTTCCCAAAAATAATACGAACTAAGCTAAACGCATTAAACAAACGATGCGCGTGAGAAATGTTAGCTAATAGTTGACATAAATAACTAAGAATTTGGCACGATAAGGCCCAAGCGCAGTAATGATGCAGAAATAGAGTTTACGTTCTAATTAAGTGAACAGTTCCCGGCTTTTGTAAATGACATTTTACTAGAAAGTGCTATTGAATAGATGCTAATGCCTCAATTATATTTAACTAGCTGCTTGGAGTCTGCCACGATGCTGTATGTGTCCTATTCAATTACCATTAAGAATCTTACCGATTCCTTTATGATTAAATACTTTAAAAAAAAAATCAGTGACAACCTTTTTAGCTCTGGGCATCAGATTTATTTTTCTGTTTCACGATCATTTGTAAATCTTATAGGTAAGTAGGTTATCAGCCTCCTGTGCCCGACACGCCGTCGACGTTTTGCGTCTAAGACAAGCCGGTTTCCTCACGATGTTTTCGATAGACAGAAAGTCCATTGATGCACAGCCGGGGATCGAACCTACGACCTCAGGGATGAGAGTCGCACGCTGAAGCCACTAGGCCAACACTGCGCTTTAAATGCCTTTAATTAGCAATACAATTTCAATTGTAACTTTAAATTGTTCAATTATATGGTCAATCATTTTGGATATAGTGGAGATTTTCAATACATTTATGTTCCACTATCCCTTTTATTTTTGATTCATAACAAACAAACACAAAGTGTATACGTATTAAAATTTTATAGCCCAGTTGAAAATTTACGCTAACATACCATCAAAAGATACAGAAGTATGGAAAACGCCAAGCGTCAACTTAAAGGATATATGTAGTCTATAGTCTATACCTACTCAAAATTGTGAGACATCAAATTCTTTGGACATTTAAAACTTAGTAAATCAACACAAAACTAGGAATCCGGTATAGTATAAATATATAACATCAATTATCGTAATAATGGACAGTCGTAAGGAAAACATTAATATAATTTATCATTGGTTATTATATCTCAAACAAACAAAGCAATAAATGCCTCTGGATATATATATGAGCATTGGCAATAAAATGCAGAATTGTAGAGGTTAGTGAATAGAGTAGACACATTTATTTACTTTCGCATCAAATGCCGTAGGGCCACTTCAGGGTTGCACATTGGTGCCACAATTCCTGCGTGTATTTATGAATGCAGAATTAATTAAAAATGTCATGTATATTTTTTTTTATAAAAACACTCCTGCCCTAACAGGCGACCATAAACAATAAGTGACTAAATTTACATACGAAACAAAAAAGCAAACATACGAAATTAATTAGGAAAAACAAAATTATATAATAAAAATACAAGAAATTAACTTACTTTAGGCACTAACAAATAATATAACTTTTTCCAGTTCATTCAACGGACAATTAAAAAGGTCCGTTAACCTATGTAATTCATTACCTAAATTAATACAGGGGGAAAAAAAAAAAAAAAAAAAAGGGGGGGGGGGGGCCCCGGAGGAAAAAAAAAAAAAGGGGGGGGGGGTTTTTTTTAAAAAATGCCAAGGGGGAAAAAAAAAACCAAGGTTGGGATTTGGCTTTTTTTTTTTTTGGAAAAAAAGAAAAAAAAAAAAAAAATTCCTGGTTTAAAAAAAAAAAAAAAAAAATGTTTTGGGGGGGGGGAAAAAAAAAAAAATTTTTTTTAAAAACCCCCCCGGAAAGAAGCCGTTTTTTGGGTTTTCCCCCCTTTTCGGGCGGCCGGGTCGCGGATCGGAAAATCGGGGTTCGGGTAGTTGGGGGTCCGAAAATTGGAGTTCTACTGTACACCGAACACATGTAAATGTAAAAATACTGACATGTTTTGATGTCAGAGTAAAATAGTGTATATTTACAAGATCTGTTGAAAATTAGAACGAAGAAAATTTAGATTCATTATTATTAAAAAAAATTAAATGTCTAACAAATCGTCTTAACAAGACCTACGGCATGCGGTTACCGTATGTGAAATTATTCTACTGATGTGTTACTGCGCAAGCGCCGCAATTCCTGAAACAACGGGTTCTGAGGAATCCTGATAAGTCTAGATTTACGCTAGCACCACTCCGGCGTCTAGATATCAATAACATAAATAGTTGGTAACTGATTTGAAATGGCAACTTATGTGAAACTGACCGACCGTAAATTATCTACTAATTAAGTAAGACATCATTTTTATCTAAGTTATTAATTGGTATACTATTATCCAATAAAGGCATATCAAAATCAGGTTCATTAACATTTATTAAATTAATTGCAAACAAAAAGTGATAGCCCGAATTTTCAAAGTCATACGAATATCAACGACAACGTAAAAGTCTAGCAACAATATAATATTACCACTTTAAACCATTGCGAATTTCGTTACCATAAACACAGATAAGAATCCACGATAGATAAGGATAAAAGCAAAAGGTCGTTATTAGATAGATTTGCAATATTTCCCAACAACGAGATGCAATAAGTTAGACGTAAACAATAAAAGCCAAGCGCATCGAACAAAAGTTATTGAAGATTTCAATACAAATTACCTTGCAATGTATGAAACAAAACGACATCTAATTTCACGGACACTAAATAAAATTAACATCGTACTGACAAAGTAACAAAGCGATCTCAATAATTCGTACACAACGAGCTGTAAGAACGCTGGCTCGTGCATTAATCATACACTTCACATCTTATAGCTATTCAATAAATTACGAGTGTAGAAATCAATTTAGTTAATATGCAATAATTGGCAACACCATCAATGGCCTACATCTGGTAACATATAATCTTAAAAGGGCGAAACAGCGATAACTACCAATTTAAGGCATTGCTGGAGAAAATTCATGCCCTATTCCAGCGCTTGTAATAAGCGAGACGCCTTATTCTAAAGATTATACTATGTTTTATCGCCTTACAATTTTGTTTGCGAAAATGGCTCCAAGATATCAGCTTTCGTGTAGTATTCGATGTACGCATTTGCAGTTAAATAAAAAATTGTGTCTAAGGTTTATTTGATAAATTTCAAAGTAAAAGCAAGTAACATAACGGCTATTCCGCGGATAAGCCAGTCCAGGCACCTTCGGGATCGTTAGGACGCTGTGAGATGATCGATAATAATGGTAATTTTACGCCGAACACGTGTACATCGGCCATCGCGATCCTACACCCTATTAGTACGTGCGAAACTCGTTCAGGATGCCTGATACCTCAGACTATCAGACACTTTGCTATTTATTCTGCCGCATTCACTTCTGTACTCCTTTAAACTACAAGATATCAAGATATCGGAAAGAATTTTTTTTCTTTTAGCTACTCATTCATTTCTTTATAAGTTAATTTGTGACGAACTATGTATTTGCGTGTTGTTCCCACAAGAATGTAAGTGCGTGCTCCTATTTCACCATGCCTCCTGCTGATAGAGGACAAATCTTTGTTTTTAATTTATTTTATTATTATTTATAACTTAAGATGTCATGTGGAACATGGTGTAATTGTTGCAGCTCCTTACAAACGTTGTGTTAAACAAAAAACTGGGCAATAAAAAAGAGTGGCGGAGAGTTTATCGCCAGTTCTTCTCTTCCGTTCTACGCCCTTGATTTGAGAACAGGCAGTAAATGTAAAATTAGAAGCATTTAATGTTTATTTCTTTTTTGTCGTTCATAAGTGTACATTGTGTTACCTACATGAATAAATAATTTTGACTTTAGACTTTGAAGATAGTTATATTGATTAAGGTAAAAATATCGATTAAAATCGAAGAAATACTTCATCAATATAAACAAAGCACTTTCGAAATAAAAAAATATAATATGATATCAAATACCATTAAATTGTATCATTTTTTGCTGGTTTAAAAATTAGAAATAAAACTTTTTAATGAACATATTCAGGACTTTTTCATTCCAGCATGTCATCACTCGCAAACAATGCAAGAATTAATCTTACTACAATAGGAACAAGTACACGTCCTGGTCCTCACGCCGCACGTGATATAGCCTTAGACATTGAGCGGCAGAACGACGCGTGTATTTATGTGACGTCCAGCCAGTCCCATAATGGCAACACAATATCACAATACGGGCATAGATTTATGCTCGGGCGCATCGTTCTCGCACACGGAAATCCCATAGTTATTTACCGTTTGGAAGTTAAGTGCGGCAGATTTATCGGTTGTGTGGCCGCGCCTAGCGACGATCTTGTTTCTCCGCCAGTGCATTAAAATATACGGAGACCATTATGATCGAAGACTCGCTGGGATATACGACGCCGGAATAATTACAGTACTGATGGTGTTCGAGGAGTTATAAAATGTAATTTACTGTTCTGCTTAATTGAATCTTTCAAATCGAAAATTTAACACGACGTTTACACATACAAACAAATAAATAATTTTTTAAGGAATATCAAAAAGGTTAGTCGACATCACACGAGACCGAAGAGCTGGCAGCTACCTCGGACAAAGAATTAGTCTAGCTATTCAAAGGGGGAAACGCTGCAAGTATCTTCGGAACCTTGCCGTTAGCTTGAAGGTTAGTTATATTATTTTTATTGTTCTTTTTTGTGTTGTTCTTTCTGTTATAATAATTAGTATTGTAAATATATCTATAAATAAAACAAATATTTCTTAAATGCATAATTTTATAGATAGGGGTCAAACGGGCAGGTGGCACCTAATGTTAAATGACCGCCGCCCATGGACACTCTCAATGCCAATTCTCGCGAAACTCGCCTCTGCATCCGCCCCATCAGCTGGAAGCTGCTCATCAGGTATGACATTTGACTTTACATATAGATTCACAAAAGTTTAAGTTGCGATGGGGTTCTAACACATTGTTAAGTGAGTGGTCTGAAATAAATTAATGTTTTAGGTAAGATGGGGACATTTTTTTAATGTAATAGGAGGCAGACGGGCAGGAGGCTCATCTGATGTTAAGTGATTAAGCACCGCCTATGGAAACTAACATTACCAGAAGGGTCGCAAGTGCGTTGCCGGCCTTTTAAGAAATGGAACTCTCTTATCTTAAAGGACCTTAAGTCGAATTGATTCGGGAATACTTCAGTGGGCAGCTGGTTTCACATGTTGGTGAGCGGCAAAAACTACCTCAAAAAAACGCTCAGTTGTGGAAAGACGGACGTCGATGTTATACTGATGTTCTGCCTCATATTGCTGAGAACACCATAGCACTGTGCTTCTTATATATAAAATTGTTGAAAACATCTTTCGTGACGATAAGTATCTCAAGCACAAACATTTTAAAAAATTCATCATGTAATCCTAGTTATTACAACATATTATTAATTATAACTTGGCGATTAAAAAGAGTGGCGGAGAGTTTATTGCCAGTTCTTCTCTTCCGTTCTACGCCCTTGATATTAGAACTGACAGTAAATGTAAAATTAGAAGCATTTAATGTATTATTTTTTGACGTTCATAAGTGTACATTGTGATATCTATATGAATAAATGATTTTTGACTTTTGACAAAAATACATTCCGATAGTATAATGTAATGTATCGGAGAATGGGAAACAAAATACCATCTGCATACATATGATACATTCAACTCCCTCTTGGCATTTCTCAACGCTTGGTCAAGATAGATGATACAAATTTATTACATCTGATTGGGCTATTCAAGGGATGATCTTGTTTGATTGTTTTACCCATCCCAACTTTGGTAGATAAATGAAAACCATTATTGATCAGGATCCAATCTTGTTTCCGATCTTAATAGTTTGCATATATACAGCTTTTACATAGACCTTTAAGCTGGAATTATATAAGTTATTTTTTTTCCACGTAGGCGACGTTTTCCAAAGACCAATTAATAAACGTCAATTAACACATTTCCAGTACATATTATAAATGCAAGACATGATTATACATGATCTCAGATTGATCAATTAGAAAGTAAATTATTTATTTCGTTAAAATTAAGCGGCAAAATAACACTTTAATTTAAGCTTCAGAATCAGAATAAAAAAAAACAGTCCTACGCATCTTAGTGTTAATTAAATTTCGAAGCCAAGATAACAGGTCATACCTAAAAGCTGCATGTTCAATGTTCATTGTAAACAGCGTATATAATATGTAAAGGACAATATAAGATTACGTGAACAATGTGGGCAATGTATTAAAAAGTGTCGTAATATATCTCCATTAGCTAGTTCATTTATTACGGCCCGTTGGTGTTTATTTACATGGACCATTATCTTTTGAAAGTGACTGGTATCATGTGCAAATGTACACCCTTAAAATATTTATTTCTAGATACCTACTTCTATTGAACAGAAGCTTTTTTGCCTTTGATTTCGCGGAACAGGGTACTACATACTATGTTGTAATTAGATTTTTGCTATATTTATGTTGTGGTTGTTGCTTGTTCGAGTTCGGTGATTTATGTTTATAAATAACTAAGGACATAAAGACGTAAGAGAGAACGAGATGCACATAAGAAATATATATCAGAACCCCTAGATTTTTAAAACAAAAAACTTCTTGGTCCAAAAACATGATCTGCATAAATCACGATGAGCTTTTTGCGTTCAAAACTATTTACCATGGTCTTCAGATTTTGGACACTGTACTCTACTCAGCTTCTCTCTCAAACACTATTCCTTCTTCGGGTAACCAAGGCAAGATTTCTAACCACATTGAATTTTTTTAAATCATGGACATTAATGAAATAACTCATATCGTAAAGATAAATTATTAATTGAGGAATGTATCGAGTCTCATCATTTCCTTTTCAGATGTTTTTGTGAGCTAAATTGCATTGCGCATACATCAACCATGTTTTAGTAATTTCGTCATATGTCAGCCGGTGTAAATCACGAAATTGAACATGGCAATGTGTTCATTAAAAGATTATATACTTATTAAAGCAAAATACGCAATACATAATCGTCTATGGTTTGATGGGTAGATTAGCCAATGCAACTTAATTTAAAAAAAGTTAATTTTTGTCAATAACTCACAAATTTCTTGTTTTTATTAAACTATTTATGTGTGATTGTAAATAAAGTAATAATTTGCAAACATTCCGGATTGTTATTACTTTTTTTGTATATCGTGAAAGTTATAAATGCATTCTTGCACCAATCACGATATTTTTGTATGCAATTTCAATATCCGTATCGCTGATGTCGCAACACATTATTAAGATCGGGATCGCTATTTGAAGATATAAAGTACGGGCTCAGATCTCCACGGTTAAACCAAAGCGTAAACCAGTGGGCAAAAAAGACTAAAAAGTCAAAAGTCAAAATAATATTAATATAAGAGTATAGATAAATGTACACTTATGAACGTCAAAAGAGAAATACATTTTAAATGTTAGAGATACATATTTAAATTTACATTTTCTGCCAGTTCTCAAATCAAGTGCGTAGAACGGAAGAGAAGAACTGGCAATAAACTCTCCGCCGCTCTTTTTGATCGCAAAATTGTTTTGTTTTACACAATGTTTGTAAGGAGCTGCAACCATTACACCATTTTCCACATGACATCTTAAGTAATTAATAGTTAATTAATCATAATAGAGTACGATACCATAGATGTTCTTTTTATTTAACCCCTTTACTTGCTTAACGCCTTAGAAAGCAAGATTTGTCAGTTTAAAAAAACCACATAGCCTTAAACGTAAGGATCAGATTCAAAGATAAATACTCGTGTTTGAATGTTCAAGAAAATCATGCTTTATTCGTTTTCTGTTTAATTAACTTCATCTATCCAACATAACATAACCATTCCGTAAAGGCATGTAAACTATTACTTAACACTCAATACCTCACAGCGAGCGTTTGATTAAGAACGGCCTAATGAAATTAATCACAGTGGTGTAGCGCCTCTTGACAAATGACCGCGTATAATTTCACACGCCATTATAACCATAGACTATAACCACAATATAAGGGTCCTGTGTCATTGACCGAAGTGTGCCATGAATACTCAGTATGTGGGATTACTGTGACCGCCAAATTAAGACAAATTTTACACTGACAAATACGGAATAAAGATGCCATTACATTCATGTTAAGACAAAGTAACAATATACAATTATGATAATGCTTATCTATGTAGATAACAGTATACATTTGGCATAAGAACTTTATGGCTATACGAACACTTCTGTCAAAGGTGTAATATCGGAGTAATTTTCTTTATTTCGTAAGAACGTGCAATAGTATTAAAAAATATTAATAGAATCACTATCACAACAATTAAATAGTTTTTTGTTATATATAATTTATGTTAGCTGTAGTATTACAAAATAAAGAAAGGCAAACAGGTAGAATAAATATTTATTAAAAGAAAATAATATGGTATATAATTACAATAAAAATAGTGTCTTTGCCTATAAGAGATCGCTTAATAACGATCTGGCCCTCAACATTTTTGTTACTTTATTGGTTATGTTATGTCATTCTTGTAAGAAAAAGTGTAAATAAATAGTACATAATGTCACCGATATCATTTAAACTGTCACCCAAGTTCAGTATTTTATTTTATAATCATAAGAATTAAATAATATACAGAATTGTATAAAATATTTCCATATAAAACAAATGAACAAATAAAAAATTGAATACTTCAAAATAAATTTATATGTATTCGAAACTAACGAGATTCATATATTTCATTCAACTATAATGTAGCCATACACGACAAGCAAGGAACCAAGGTGGTCGGTAATCCGACAGACCTATAGCTATTAATTAACGGGAATTAAGCGAGCTCAATACATTTCCACTCTTAAACATATATAATAGAACTTTTTTTATAATATTATCATGAATTAAATTGATAATTCCAGATTTTTCAATTAAATTTGATAGAGAAAATCTTTATGTATAAAAATAATATTAAAAAAAGTGCTTAATATTGAAATAGATTTTTTTGTCTTAGGACGAAACTAACTATGACTTCTGTATGTCAAATTCAATCTTGTCAAAAAGTTAAAACTTAAGGCCCTAACTATCCCAGCAGGAATTGCAGTGTCAGTGTCTCGGGTTGGACTGCGGTGCGCAGTTTAGAGCTGGAGCATTGAGGCGCGCCGGCCCGTAATAACAATTATGTAGTTATATTAAACATTAAATTAATGTAATTTTACCAATTTTTTTCCACTTCACTTTTTTTACATTCAAACACTTTGAATTTCATACAATTTATATAATTCATACATTTTGTGTTGAAGCCTATTAACCCCAAAATTTTGCA